CCTCCACCGTTCTCACGGCCTCGTCCCCACGCGCCACCGCCTCCTTGGCACTGGCGCCGAGCATGCCCGGCTTGCTTGAGTTCACCACGGACTGAGGAGGAGACTGACGCCGCCGGCGAGATGGGGACGCGCGGATCAGCGGCAGGAGTGGGAGAGCCGGTTTGCTGGTGCCGGCGGCAGCGGAGGAGGCGAGGCGCTGGTGCTGGAGCCCGCCAGATGGAGGATGTAATGTCCCGCCTTCCCCTAGGCCAGGCCCGCTTACATCTGATAGCTTTCATAGGTCATAGACTGCCCTCACAGACCAACACATATCTTTTATGCACACTTTGTCCTCACTCGTGTGCACCCGGGAAGAATTTCCCGGTCGGTCACTTATCCCAAATTGCTCCAGGCCAAGCACGCTTAACCCTGGAGTTCTTTGGAGATTGGCTTCCGGAAAAGAAGTTGGAAAAGAAGTTGCAACTTGTTGATATGAGTATTCTATTAATCCTATTAAGCCCTAGGCCGGGATGTTACACCCTCACCCCCTTAAGAGAGATCGATGCCCCCGTCGATCAACCCTAGGTAAGAGAGATCGACGCCCCCGTCGATCAACCCTAGGCCAGAATCAACCCTAGGCCAGAAACGTCCTCTCTTGGCCACGTCCATGTGTCCAGTGCCAGCGCATGTGCCATGCTGTAACCACTCCCGGTCTACATCAGCCATGAGCACCATGCCTGCGCAACTGCGACACACGCGCCCGTGAAATTGCGAGAGTCGGCTCTGATACCATTTTGTAATGTCCCGCCTTCCCCTAGGCCGGGCCCGCTTACATCTGATAGCTTTCATAGGTCATAGACTGCCCACACGCGCCCGTGAAATTTTGTTATGTCCCGCCTTCCCCTAGGCCGGGCCCACTTACATCTGATAGCTTTCATAGGTCATAGACTGCCCTCACAGACCAACACATATCTTTGCTACACACTTTGTTCTCACTCGTGTGCACCCGGGAAGAATTTCCCGGTCGACCAACACATATCTTTGCTACACACTTTGTTCTCACTCGTGTGCACCCGGGAAGAATTTCCCGGTCGGTCACCCATCCCAAATTGCTCCAGGCCAAGCACGCTTAACCCTGGAGTTCTTTGGAGATTGGCTTCCGGAAAAGAAGTTGTAACTTGTTGATATGAGTATTCTATTAATCCTATTAAGCCCTAAGCCGGGATGTTACACCATATTGCTAAGGCTTGGGATCTAAAGCTCGTCCTAGGGTCAAGGGGGCTCTGATACCAACTTGTCACGACCGGAAATAACCCAACGGGCGTTCCTTACGTGCATGCATTATTCCTTGTCCTAGGAGGCAAGGTACACCAAAAGTTGATACAATTCAGAGTTTAACAAGCGGAAGCGTAATTAATTAATTTATTACATGGGCGGCGAAGGCCCAGCACACAAGAAGACAAACGAAAAACAGCGGAAGACTAGGGCGACGACCACAGGCGCTTGACGACAAGCATGAGCTAGACACCAAAGCCTTCATCTTCCAGGAACTCCTCTTCTGGGTTTGGGAAAAATTAAGCAAAACTGAGTACAACCACCGTACTCAACAAGACACACCCACAAGTGCAGAATAAATGCGAGGGAGTACAAGGGAGCCATAATATAGGGAGTTAGGGTTTGCAGTAAACAGCATTAAAAGACACTTAGTTGCTCAAAGCTATTTTGTAAACCCGGGCCTAGAGCTATACAAGATTATTAATCAAGGCCGTGAACCCACACGAACCTGCCTTAACCCAAGGCCTACGATGATTCAGACCGAACTGGCAACCCGTCTCTGGGTCCCAGCTCGTCCCAAGCCAACCCAGGCCAACCATTCCACATTTTAGTTGTTAAGCAGGTTTTAAGAATTAAAAACACTAACTTGGGTACATTGCTCGGCTTGCCCATAACCGAGGGCGCGGCTATTCGAATTGATTATACTCTGATCAGAGGTGTACATCTTTACCCACAAGACACATCTTCCTCACGTGTAACCACGTGCCACATACCACCACGGTATACGGATGGAAGACATGACATAGTTTCCAACCCATCCTAGCCATAAACAAGAGTACCGACCCAACCCCACCTACGGCCGGAACCCCCGGGACAGGTAGGCAGGACTGAGCCCATAGCAGCAGAACACCGGCCCTGTGCCATGACATCTCGACTACCGGGCCGCAGCTCGTGTAGCCTTCATTTGCCCTAGAGATGTCCATCGACCCCCGACTTCGTCCATCTCCATCCATGTACTTTTGTTTATAACCAGGCTGAGCCACAAACTAAGCCTTACCCACTAGACAGGTGGAAGTACGGTAGTGCTTTGCAACAGAGGCCCGAAGACCGGTCCTTATATGGCCGAGGTGCTACTATCAAAACCATGCACCCCGAGCCCAGCCTAAAACCATTTTGAGGGTTTTGAATAGAGGGGGAGGTGTGAATCCAATTCCACAATAATCCAACCATTCCATAGTGTCCAGGTGATATGAATATTCCCAAAGTCTAGAGTTGTAAAACCACCTAATGTTGCCTAATTAACCAGCGAAGCATCTACCTAAAATCATACTAGTGGTACCATGAGTAGAGTGTCCACTAGTTGGTGTTTTGTTTATTCTAGGGTGAACAAGGTAATAGTAACAACAACAATAATAAGGTCATAACAAAGGTACATAGGCATGGCTAGATAAAACAGTGATAACGCGGGAATTTAAATAAAGCGATAATGCAATAATTTAAATCAAAATAATTTTACAAACTAGGATTCAATATGTTCAAGGTTGATGTGACTTGCCTTGCTCGCTTTCCCAAACGTCGGCTTCAACCTCCACGAAGAGCAGATCTTCCGAAGCTGCAACGTCTACACGACCAACGGAAAATAAAAGGGCTTTTACTCTAATAAACTCCATATAACAAGCAGGAACAAAGCACAAAAATGGGTTCTTGACTTCTTAAGGAAAAATTAGAGACTTGAACGGTCCAATTCCGAGTTCAAATGGCCAAGTTATGGCCATTTGAAGTTTATATGCTCTTTAAATGAATATTTGCGAATTTCTTCATTTAAATTTTAATTTAAAAAAAAAGTTTATTGCGTCAGCCGAGGGGAGGGGGCGCGCGGACCGGGTCCACGGGAGTGGGGCCCACGCGACAGCCTCACGGTCCACGGTGGACCGGGCGCACCCGGGCTCGTACCGGCCGGCGCTCTGGGTCCCACGCGTCAGCCGCACCCGAGGGCGCGGGCGGCTGACGGCCGGGCCCCACGCGGCGGCCACTCGGCGCGCCCGAGGGCGGCCACTCGGCGCGGCCGGCGGGAGGCGGCGCCCGCGCCCCTATGGTCGCCGGCGGCGGCCATAGGCACGGCGGAGCGGCGGCCGAGAGAGGGGAAGGGAAGGGGGAAAAGAGGCGGCGGTCCACGGCTCACCCTTGGTCGACGGCGGCGACGGAGGAGGCGGCCTGAGCGGAGGGAGGCGGCGGCGCGGCTCGGGTCGACGGGGTCGACGGCGTTCCGGCGGTCGGCGACCGAAACGGAGAGGTGGACGAGGTTGGTGAGGATGCGGCGAACCCGAAGGAGGCGGCGCCGAGGTGGGAGGCGGTCCGGGGCGACGACGGCGGCGGACCGGAGCTCGGCGCGAGCTCGAATCCGGCGAGGAGTAAGGGCGGCGAGAGGCGGAAACGGACGGAGGAGGTGCGGGGAGGGTTTAAATAGGGTTGGAAGGGGGAGATAGCGGCCGGCGGAGAAGGAATAGGCGCGGGAGGTCCGGCCGCTATCAATGGCGCCGGCGAGATTTGCAGGGGCAAATCCGCCCGTTTGAACGCGAGAGAGAGAGGGGAAAATGGGGGGAAAGGGAGAGGGGATCACGGGAAGTGATTCCCCCCACTTTATTGCACGCGGGGACGGCGGGAGGCGGCGGGATTCGTGGCGGCGGCGGCGCTAGGGCGCGGGCGGAGCGGCTGGAGCGGCGAGAGGAAGGGGATGACGGGTGGGCCCTACCCGTCAGCGAGGGTGGCAGGCGGGCCCGCCCGTCAGCGGCGCGCGCGCGGGGAGGGGCCGGATGGGCCACGGGGGAGAGGAGAGAGGGGGAGGGAGATGGGCCGGATTCGGCCCAAGAGAGGGAAGGGGGATTTTTAGGGTTTTTCTTTTTATAAAACCTTTTCAACTTTGTTTATTTCTTAATAATTATTATTTGTGCTCTGAAAATTCCACTAAAATTTATTTACGCATTTTAGGCTTTTAGGAAATTTACAAAAATCCTCTAAGCCTTATTTGACTTTTAACTTTGCACATTTTAATTGTTGGAGGCTTTCACACGGATTTTAATTATTCTAGGCATAATTTAAAGGATATATTTTAGGGTCGTTTTGGGACGTGCCAGAGGAGGAGGCGTGGCGTCAGCCGGAGCTGGCCAGCGACGACGAGGAACCCCCCAAGGCTTCGCCGGCCGACTCTGGTGCGAGATCTGGACCCGGCCGCTCCTTGACGCAAAGTAATTAGACCTGAGGGGAGGGGAGAGAGAGGGGAAACTAGGAAGAGAGAGAGAGAAGGGAAAGACGCCGCGAGATGGGGCTCTTGGCCTCGGCGGTGCGGCTCTCGGCTCTGAAAATGGGGCTCTGCATGGGCGGGCACTCCGCTGCCACGGCGGGGAACGGCGGGTACAACTCTGCTGCTGCGGCCGACGCCGACTGCGCCAATACGTGAAGTCGTGTGGACACTGTACTCGCCACTGCCGCCGCCGTTGCAGACGCGCTCAACTTCACTGCGGGAGAAAGAAGGAAGAAGATGGGAGAAGGAAGGAAGAATATGGAAAAGGAAGGGAATGGATGGAAAACGTGACGACAGTGGTACGGTTATAATTTTGTAAAATTTTAGTGGCACGGTTATGAATACATAAATTGTAATGACTTTTTTCTGAATAGCCAAATTTGCGGTGGCTTGGTACAAATTAACCCGAGGAAAAATGTTTTGGGTTGGAGTGGGTTTGAATTAGATGTAGTAACCAGTCGGCCCAGGCGCCGCAAACCCTAGGGATCTTAGGCCGCCGCGGCGCTGCATCGTCTTGCCGTATTGCTCCACCGGCCCACCCGCTCTCCGCTCCTCCAGTCCCAGCACTAGCACGGTGACCAAGTCAGACCGGCGGCGCCGTTGTGCTTGTTCGTGCCGGCTGCCACGCGGAGCGGGATGCCGCGTGCGGTGTCTCGGTCGCCGCCGTCGCACCGCCGGCGCCGCTCCCCTTCCCCGCGGTATGGGAACCGGCGGAGTCGACGAGATCGGAGCCGATCCCCCTACACCTCCACACGGTACGCATCCCCGATTACCCCGCTCACTGTCTCTCCATCCTCCCCAATCTGCGCATGCTTCTGTTCGGGCTCTGGTACAGTACCCGCTGGGGTGAGTTTTTGGGATTGGAAATTTGGAATTCGTCACGAAATGCCTTCCATATTTCTAGTGCTATTTTTTCTTTTAGAATTGTGGATAGAAGAAATAAATTAATCATATTTAAATATAATAAATCCACTTGAAATAACAGATTTGCTTATCTGGGCAGAGTACGAGACGAGAAAACATATCAGAAATTTGGATTCCCCACGCAGAGTCTCGAGTATGAGGCTTGTGGAAGAAACTCATTTTTCAGTCTATGTATTGTAATGACTAGCGGATCTTTTTTTTTCTGTTGTTGTTGCTGTTGTTGTTATCATAACTAGCAGATCCTTTTTTGATTGTCTTTGCAAATAGCAATCTACAAAGAAAATATGTTATGTGAATATAGAAGATTATGGCCTCGATTGAGATAGCTCAAAATGGATGGATAATCTGGTTTTGTGATGGCTATTTGAGGATATGAGCGAATGAATTGAACTACTGCAGAGTTTCTCTAGAAAAGTATTCCAAGAAAATTTTATATATAAAATTTTGGCATGAAATGCATCGTTTGGGGGATTGGGTAGCATGGCAAAGAAAATCCAAAGTTGAGAATCAGAAAAGAACAGGGCCCCTACTAGTGTGTCATTCTGCCTAGCTCTCGCTGTTTTCCTATTATACAAGATTTACTATCAACAGCTGTTTGCAAAGGACTTAAATGGTCATCCTGTTGCAGAATGTTATCCTAGAAATGGTAGATGAACATGTCGTGCACTGCAAGTGTGTGCTCAACTCTATTTCCAGATCCACAAGTGTCAGTTTCAACCGAGCCATTCTAACTTAGATACAAATTGTTTTTGGGTTTTTTTTTTGTGAACCCAATATTTTTTTTTGTGATTCATCTTTTGATTTTATTTTTGGTGCTGAAGAGACATGCTTTCTTTTCAGAAGGTAAGAATAAAATTTCCATGTAATGTGGAGTAGTTCAATCTTGTAACTTCAGTTAGCTGAGCATATGCTGACATCTGTTACAATTAGGGCTAAAGGCTAAAGCACAACTTGACTAAAAGCATCCATCTTTTTCTACCTCGATAGCTGAGCTATTGTTTTTACTTAGTACTGGAGATAGGAGTATCAAAGATTTGTGTCTACAGAGATGGTTGGAACTGTATTTTTAACATCATTTTTTGAACTGTTGAATTTCTTTCTTCTTTGTAAGAACATTTCATATATGATAAGCTAATCCTGATCTTTTTTATATTCACTTTTGTTTGTTGTTCGTGATTATAGGCCATATTGTTTGGCAAACATTCAATGTGGAATTGTGGATTTACTCATATGTTACTGTTGTTAATTTATCATATTCCATGAATTGGCATTTTTTATAAATCTAATGTTTCATTTTTGTATCTTCTTTGTTACATGTAAATTATGTGTTCATCACATTCTTTAGTCATAGTGTTATCAAGTCGTGTGATTAGTCACGACTAGGTGTTGACTAATCGTAAAGATGGTCAAGCCACAGGACTAGAAGGCCACAACTCGACCAAATTGTAACTCGCGCTATTAGTTGTGGTTAGTCGTAGATTAGTCTTAAAATCGGTGGTAGATTAGTCGTGGTTAGTCTAGCAAATCACCAATTCACCATGCTAATTGGCTTATTGTGTTTATTCCTTGTTGACTTATTGTCTTGCTAGCTACTCAATAGTTCATAGTTTATACTATATATAGTGCTTAGCACAGTATTAGTAAAGACTATAGTGCATCCCCTGTTTTCACACGACCAAGTCATGGACTAGTCGACCATGTCAACAAGTCGTGGACTAGTTGATCAAGTCGACAAGCTCCCTTAGCTGTTTACATGGGCACGCTGTACAAATATGAATGTTTCTTTGCATTTTTGGTGTCCATCTTGGCATAGTGACATTCCATACTAATCTGTTTGCTTTGATATTTTTCTATTGCTGCATGCTTTCTATCATGTCAATTCTTCAACTGTAGTTATCTTGTCAATATTACAAACTTCCATCATCTTATTTTGTGTGTTCGTCTATTTTCTGTCCAATTCAATTCCCTTCTATTTGGAGAAAAAGTCGGTCTCCTTCTCCAAGATGGGAGAGAAGCCAGTCCCCAACTCCTAGGAGGCGTAGAAGCCCTCCATCACCAAGACGACAACGAAGACGGAGAAGTCGAAGCAATACAAGTTCCACTGTAAATAACTCCTGCAGCCCAAGTCATGTATCAGAGCAAAACAATTTAATTGAGAAGCAAAAAGAAGAAGGAGATAAGAAAAGGTAATTTTATGTTTTCTTGATTCCTATGCAGATTACCTCTTCTGTATGACTGCAGCTCTCATTATATAGTTTGTCAAGCAATATCATCCATGTCAATTTTCCTTCAGACCTAGACTGTACTTCTGCACTTGATTTGATTATATTTTGTTCGCCAACCAAAAAAGATCAAGAACATGCAAAATAAGATCAAGAACTCATCAAAGCGCCATAGGATATCACAATTCAATGATGTATCACTTGAGCTGTCGGACATGTCAGTTGGAAACACAATATAGACCAATACTTTCTTATATCTTTTAAAACCTTTTAGAGAAAATCATGAACAGTCCTAGCCACCCATATGAACTGTCCTAGCTAGCCTTGGCACTCAATGAACTGTCCTAGCCAGCCTGCCACTCAATGGAACACTTGTACTTATTTCTGTATATTCATGGTTTGAGAAAATACTTATTTTTTGCAATTCATATGGGGATTGCATTGGAATTATGCTGTTTCATGTTAATTTTTAATAGGCAAAATTTACTGTTGGACATCACGACTCCGTGATTTTAGCTGTAGGACAACGCAAAAGTGGATTTTTAGGGGAAGACTCTCAAAATGTGGCGCTTTGCTACCGGACAGCGTCCCCACTATTTTATTATTTTCTGTCTAATTAGGGAGGAGAAAGAATGCGGAAGAGGTCTGAAATTCCCTGAGTGTTCAATAGTCCAAATGGCCTGCCAACCAATTAATCAGTACACGCATATATGATAGGATCAAAGTATGCATTGGCACATACGCATTCGGCTGATGTTCCATCAAGTTTACTATTCAGCATAGCAGCAATTATTTAATATTGCCCATAATTGATTCGTGGTCTAGATATTTCTTTGATTGATATGCGTGAGTTGATTAAGCTGTAGCACGACTAATTAGCATTAGGTTACATTGATGCCGTTTCGGGGCACCACGGCTGATCTACCTGCCTGACAGGCCACTTGGTCTAATCGGAATGAGAAAATTGACATTTTGCCATCTTCGGGATGGGGTTTCGCTGTAATGCCACTCCGGAATGTGGCTTCGTTATAATGCCACCTTCAAACGAAGCCATCTTGCTACAATGCCATTTCGACCATTTTTTATGATTTCCAAATGTTTTCCACCATTTTGATCTTTATGCTTTGACCCAAATGCCCTTGTCTGTCGGTTTTAGTGTGCTCGAGCTGGTCGAGTCACATTGCTTGGCTGAAGGGAGAGCATATGCAACGCCACCCCTTTTCTTCACCACTATGCCCCCTCACCCCGCGACCTTCACCGTCCCCGCTATGCCCTGCTGCTGATAGCTTTGCGCTGCAATCTCCGCGCTACAAAACCACGTGCTTTCCTCGGCGTCGGATCCGAGGGGCCCTGGGGGCAATGCATCAAAGACTGACGACGGGAAGAGACAGAGCTGACAGCATGTTGCAAGCTAGCTCAAGGGCTCCTCTCGTCGTCCGCCCACCCTCCAGGTTTCCTCTTGGTCCTAGTGGAATACCTCTCATTTGTTGCCCGAGTTGTGGGGAAGGGGTAGAAGAGTACAAATCCAAGAAGCAAGGAGGCAGGATCTTCTTGAATTGAAACCTGCCATCAACCTCTTTAGTATCAATCTCTATCACACTCCAGGGTAAAGTTTTCAATACCTCTGCCCTCCATCTATAAAGCTAGTGAAAACTTTCTTCCCAGCTACCATATAACTCTAGCAAAGCCTTTTGCCTACCCGCGTAAACAGTGTCATACTCCCTCTGTCCCAGTCATTAAGGCGCGCACACATTTTAAGATTCAACTCTTTAAATATTTGACTTATAAATAGTTTATTATAAATTAAATTTTATTTAATGAAAATAATATTATTAGATTGTCATTTAAATTTACTTTCATATGATTATGATTTTATTGCTACAAACATTATTATATATGAGAAATTTAGAATCAAAGATTAGTTTTGAAGACTGTCCAAGTTTGACTGTGCCTTAGTGATTGGGACAGAGGGAGTAGTTAATAGTACACTTGTGATCATCTTGTAACTTGATCATCATCTCTTTAGGGCCCATACATGAATTCTTCATCAACATTAGGACAGTCTGTTAGCACTGTTAGCCCATTTGGTAGATGGTGTGGTAGTTTTCCTTCTGCTTCTGCTGCTTGATGTACATTTATGATAATCTGTTAGCACTGTCACCTGCAATCAAGTAATAGCATCCATCAAATTCCATGCATTGTGACAATAAGGAAACAAATGACAACCAATTAATTCAATACCATTACAGTCTTCTGGTCAGGCTTGCCTAAGCCCAACTATTATGCCAACGAAAACCATCCACTTTGCAACCACCTATGTATCTGACTGGGTCAATTTTAACCAAATCCAATTCAAACTCCTTGTTAATAGCAAATTGCCTCATTGCAATCCTAAACTCAGGCATGCCTGGGTAGATAGTACCCACAGCCATACAAGGATTGTTAGGATCATATGCCATCACCATCCCCTGGAATTGCATCATCAACAGGAATTGCTGCTCTAGTGTTGTCTTCATCAGCAGCTGCTTTTCCTTTGTCAGCATTTGCATCTTGGTTTGCATTAGTTCGTCTAGCTTGCTCATCCTTTGCCCTTAATTCTAACAACTCATAGAATTTATCGTCCCCAACAATTTCTTGCCTCCCTTTGTCATCATTCTTGGCCAGAACCTCTAGCCTATCCCAATCAACAGCAGTAGGGACTGGTTGCACTACCCCATCGGGTGAGACAAGGAAAACGGATTCCACCGCCTCATCGGGTTCTACCACAGCTAAGCTACACTCAGGCTCCCTTTCAAGCCTGGAGAAAAAAAAATAGATGTGGCTTAGAGCAAGGTCTAACCCAGCAAACGCGCACCAAATACTTCGCAGCTAGATCTCGGAAGACCAAATGTGCGCACACCAAACAAATTGCAAAACGATGAAGTCGATGAAGTTAGGCAAATACTTACTTGGTGACGAGCTCATGACAAGTGCAATCTATATGCTCGACCTTCTTTGTCGCTCCCTCACGCCACCAGCATCCTGTCGACACATTTTGGGGGCGGCGCGGCGGCAGCTAGATCTATGGCGGCGGCAGTGACGAGCAAGACGGGAGGAAGAGGCGATTGGACGGGGATCCATCTCTCTCACACAAGTCAACGAAATGGTCAGGGGCAAATATGTCAAAGCACGGTGGAGAACATTTGGAAATCACACAAATGGTCGAAATGGTAATGTAGCAAGATGGCTTCGTTTGAAAGTGACATTATAACGAAGCCACATTCCGGAGTGGCATTCCAGCGAAACCCTATCCTGAAGATGGCAAAATGTCAATTTTCTCAATTGGAATACGTTAGGGGCATTTTAGACCTTTCACGTGTTTTCTCTCTCTCCTTCCTAAACCAAAAATAAAAAATAAAAAAGTGTGGGCGGTGTCTAGTAGCAAACAACCACAATTTGGGAGTATCTTCTCCGAAAAATCCACTTTTACGGTGTCCTACAGCCAAAACCACGAAAATCACAATGTACAGTAGCAAATTTGCCTTTTTAATATGTTGAGTGCCCCTGTTACTGTTAGTAGTCATAGAAGAAAAATGTAATTAGCAAATACTCATCTATCTGGCCCAATATAGTAGAAGTCAGTTGATATAGCCGCAAAGCACCAGAATCAAGTGAATCTGTTCATGTTATGTCTGCATGAACACTGAATTGACCAGCTGTCCAGATTAAACCATTCAATCCCTAAATTAAGCAACAGCAGCATTACATTCTCAACTGGCCCGAAGCTAGCTGCCCTACAACCAATATTACATATGCTATATATATTTTGTCTTCTTCCTTTGCCTCTGATGCACAGTGGCCAATGAGCAGACATTCCGCACAAACAGATTTCCATTGCTTCCCTTGTAATTGTGTACTTAACTTTTGATGAAGCACACATTGTCCAGAGATTAAATGCTGAATGGATAAAACCTTACATCTTTTTAGAGCATGCGGATTGAGGCGTCGTAAAATATATTTCAAAGTATTTTATTCATAATGTAATGACTAAATGCTAAATGGATAAAACCTTACATCTTTGTATTGCGTGCTAGTGCCATATACCAAAACTGAACTAGTATACGTGATGACTGATGAGCAGCTAAATGCCTTCACCAAAAGTTGACCTACAGTTGGACCTCACAGGTCTCCTTACACTATTCCTATCAGAGTGATGGTAGCAAATGCAGGACTAATGAAGGGAGAAGGGAGGTTAATGAGAAATAAATAATACAAGGTCAGCAGTAGAGGAAACCATTGTTTTGATCCAAAATTATGCATGAGCATAATATGAACGTGAGAATAATCCAACATAAATAGGTGGAAGTAACTCAGCGATATGTAGAGTGACTAGAGAAACTGATGAATATGCACAAATAGCTGGTGATTAGTCCAAAATAGTACTTCACAATCATGTGGAATTAAAATTAGCAAGCTGAACTAACAAATGATAAAGAGAAAATCCATGAAATGCCATTGACAAGCACTCTAATCCTAGAAATGCCACTGGCAAGCGCAACTTCCTCAAAATGCCATTGTACAAGCGTTTTTCTCCCCGAAATGCCATCACAGTCAACTTACCGTTTAGTCCACACGGTTAGAAATTTTTTTTTACCAGAATGACCAGATTACCCTCGCTCCAAATTTTACTATCCAGAGGCAGTAAAAGAAAAGAAATTGGGGAAAAAAAAAGACAACCCTAAACCTAACCGATGGGGGGCGACGACGGCGGCGATGTGGCGCCCCCAGGCGACGGTGCGGCGGCGGTCGCAGGCGGCGCTCTCGGGCGGCGGCGCGGGGGGTCCCTGGCGGCGGGGGTCCTCCGGCGGCGGTTTGCGGCTCTCAGGTGGCGACGCGGCGGCCCCCCGGTGACGGCGCGTGGCCCTCAGGCGACGGCGCGGCAGCCCCTGGCGACGATGCGGGGCTCCCAGGCAGCGGCGCGGCGGCTCCAGGCGACGGCGCAGCGGCCCTCGGCGACGGCGCGGGGCTCCCAAGCGGTGGTGCGGCGTCCCTCGATTGCGATGTGGTGCTCCCAGGCGGCGTCACGACGGCTCCAGGCAGCGGCGCGTCAGCCCCAGGCTGAAATAATTGATAGCAAAATTTCTGAAATAATTTTGATGCCAAAATTTGTGAATTTAATTTTGAAATAATTTGATTGATAGAAAAATAATACATGTCTGTGAATTTAAATATGCATCAATTCAAAATGATATTGTGTGAGCAAACAATACAAAATAATGTTGTTTGAGCAAAAAGTTTGCCCAGGGGTAAGATTGTCTTTTCATACAACTTAACGGAGAGGAGTTAACAGCAGTATGGCTGTGATGGCATTTCTGGGAGAAAAACGCTTGTACGATGGCATTTTGAGGAAGTTGCGCTTGTCAATGGCATTTCTGGGATTAGAGTGCTTGTCAATGGTATTTCATGGATTTTCTCAATGATAAATGGGGCACTAGAATCCAACACAATATAGGCATGAGCATTAACTGCCGCACGGTATGCATGTGTGCCATGCCTGGTGTGGCCTTGCCACCAGAGTCTACCCTATCTGTTTGTGCATCATCTATTTTCATGCACGAGGCTACCGAAAACCAATAGGCTGGACCCTAGGGACACTGATTCCGGAGTTAATTTGAAGCATAAACATTTATACCATCAGGTCTATTCTTGATGCAGCATAATAGAAGTTGTAACCAATATAAACTGATACATCTACTATCGAATACTAATAGCTCCTTTGAGACATAAAACTAGGAAGCGTAAATATAAACAGTCTGAAATGATGTTCATGGTTGTTTGCTGGGTCAGGCTGTCAGGCATGGATGCGTGACTGACCTCTGGCAAGGAAATGCTACAGGGAACTTGCCTGTCATGCATATTGGAAATGTAGAAATTTGACTGAGAAAATGGAACAGAGAGGTGAATGAGCAAAACTTATAGCTGGACTATTTTCATGGATTTAAAAAAAGCCAAATAAGTGATGCATGTTCATTGCACTTACTGAAAACTCTGTTGCTTAGAAGTGTTAATTGATTTCTCTGCATTACCGTGCTAATTGATAGTAATATAAAGCAAGATAAATGTTAGTGGCATTAATGGGAAGTAGACTCATCTTTCCAATATCTTCTGTCAAATTCAATCGATGAATGGTTGAATTTTGCTAGTCTAATGGTAAAGAAAGATTCAAAGAGATCCAACATGAAGTCAAGTGTAACCACAGACAGGTGTACATGTTAATTTTTTTTTTCTCTGAGTGGAAGTGTACATGTTAAGTTAGTATATGAACGTCGCACATTCATACATTCATACACTCTGGGAAACTCTTCGATATGTTTAAATGAATTTTGAGCAACAAAGTCAATGCTTATTTCTCAATACTATAATATGAAGAGAAAAGGCGTAAGTGCTAGGAATAATACTTGTGTGTTCTGAAAGTGGAGTATGTGGTTCTTTTATAAGCTGTCTGGTCAACTATGTTCCCGTAAGAAGTTAAGATAGTTTTTGTTGTCATCTGTTAACACTATTTATGTTTGGGGAACTTTCACAGATTAGAATATACCTGCTTTATCCATCGATCAAAGGCTTGAACATGTATAATATTGTTACCTAGGTTTTTTCCCTCACCCTTGTTTCTTCCCTTGCTTAATGAAATGATGCACTTCTCTCTTGAGTATTCGAGAAAAAGAGAGGAACATTTTGTGTCTCTCTTTTCAGGAATCATACAAAAAAAGAGAGTCAAATTTCACATGATTCAAAACTAGCCATGCAGTGCTTGTGTTCTGCAGTGTCTTGCAGAAATTAGAGTTTATATGTGCTTTAATCACCTCCCTCTGCCTGCCAATTTTCTTCTTAATTTAGTGAACCGGTAACTAATCAACTGTCACATGAAAAATGAACATTTCTATCGTTTCCACATTGGCTGTTTTTTTTATGCTTTGTTTTCCCTTGTGCTTTTCAGCTCAATATTCTACTGTTGTAATTATATTTATGCTTATTTAGACATTGCATGCCAAATTTTACTAGAATCCACCTATTTTCAACCAGAAATTCTATAACAATTGTACTAGAGTAACTTGACTATTTAGTTTGTACTTTTGTGTTCATATATAGTTCCATAGTACATTAATTCTATTAGTTCATGCTTACATGGATTGCAGTTTGGCTAGGTTGTACCAGTTCCCGTAACTTTGTGTTTCTCTCAGCAGGCGCCAAAAGGAAGCTGAACTGAAGTTACTTGAAGAGGAGCTCGCTCGAAGAGTTGAAGAATCTATAAGAAAAAATGTTGAGGACCGTTTGAACTCCGAGGACATCAAAAATGAAATAAAACGGCGAGTTGAGGAAGGCATCAAGCAGTTATTTGATGAGGTTGATGCTCAGCTACAAAAAGAGAAGGAAACGGCTCTGCGTGAAGCCAGGCATAAAGCTGTGAGCATTAATGTCATGCTATCCTTAGTGCTGATAATTTTTTACAAGAACATCTCATTAGATTCAAACATTGACAAAACTAATCAACCATTGAAAAGCTAAGCAGATGAAACCACCAACTTAAACCTAATGCATATACTATTTATCCTTTTGCATAAAGAGCAGAACCTTTGTAGTCTGGCTCGGTGCTAGTACTTCTCAGTAGATATTTTTTCTACTAGCAACTGAAAATTGGTAGTAGTGTCATGTTTTTTCAGTATGATTGAGATCAACACCATAATTTGATAAATTCTTCTCCTGAGAACCTTGTCCAAATTGAGTTAATCAGTTCAAAATTTTTGGCTGCAGGAACAAGAAAGAAGAGAGAGGGAGGAGTTGGATAGGATGCTTGAGGAGAATCGGCGAAAAGTAGAGGAAGCTCAAAGAAAAGAAGCACTGGAACAACAGCAGAAAGAGCTAGAGCGATTTTTAGAGTTGGAAAGAATTCAAAAGCAAAGGGAAGACGCGATGCGTAGAAAGAAGATAGAGGAGGAGGAAGATAGAGCTAATCAGATGAAATTACTTGGGAAGAATAACCGTTGATTTGGTTTCAGTATTATGATCTGTTTCATCTGACAAGATTAGGCATACTCGCTCTGTCTCAAGATATAATGGATTTTTGGTGGATGTGTTATATTTTATTATAATGTATCTATCACATTGTTGACGAAAAAATCAAACACACCGGCCTGGGAGATCTGCTTAACTCCTGTGTAGGTCCAAAGATTGATGAGATGCTGGTGTGTCAGTCAGTTTGATCCTGCGACTGACAAGATATGTAAACAGCAGATAAAACAGCCGATCGGCTGACAAGCCGATGTAGTGATTCCAGCCGATAGCAGATAATAGCCGATGCCAATACCAGCCGATAGTGATAGGGTTTCAGCAATCAGCTATATGTCTAATGTAGATAATGATATAGAGGCAATCGGCTGTTGATGATATAATATAGCAATATAATCCAGTAGAAACCAATCAGCTAACAATATGATATAGTAGAGCAAATATTGATCCGAAGGTTAAAGCATACATCGGCTGGAATCATTACATCGGCTTGTCAGCCGATTAGCTGTTTTATCTGCTGTTTACATATCTTGTCAATCGCAGGATCAAACTGACTGGCACGTCCGCATCTCATCAATATTTGAACCTGCACAGGAGTTAAGCAGATCTCCCAGGCCGGTGTGTTCGATTTTTTTCGTCAACACAGATTGGCACGCCCGGTGGGACCACGAATTTTATATCCACATGTCTGAAGAAGAAGTCAATGCCAAGATCATTCAATCTCGGCTTGGGGGGCAAGCGCATCAGTTTTAGCATGGTGGAGCACATCAGTATCAGCTCATGAAAGCTGATTACAAGATTAGACAAGAGAATTTTGGAGCATGAGCCCTCGTACTCCAAAACTGGGAGACAAGAGAATTTTGGAGCATGAGTCCTCATACTCCAAAACTGGGGGGCGTGTATTAACAGTGAAATTTGGTAATCGGCAAAGACGTCATCGGCTTAGAGTCATTATCGGCTGCAGCATCTCGGAATCAGCCGATGGGAGCTATCAAGTCGCCAATAGTCGGATTCTTGCTATATTCAGTTAAGGAAATCAATCTACTAAAGGAAGCTTATCCATAAGAGACCGAGTTCAAAGAGAATGCGGCATGGCAAGTTATCTATTAATTAGGAATAGTTTGTTAGTTTCCTTTTATCTTTAGGAAAGTGTGTTTAGTGTCCTATAAGGACTTTATCTTTTCCTTTTATCTTTAGGAAAGTTTCTTTCTTGTCCGACAAGGACTTGTATCAACCCATGGGTATAAATATGTACACCCGGGGTCTATGTAACCAATCTATCGATCAATACTACTCTCGGCGCATCGCCACCCTCTTCCCTGAGGTTTTTACTTATCTTCCGGCGGGATTTGGGCAACTGACGCGGGGCTGCATCGGCTTTCGATCTCCGGTGAAGGGATAAGTCCTACGTTCCGTCGGGCCCTGGTGAATCTGTCGGCTACGTTGGTGTTGTTCAAGGCTACATCGATTCGATCTCTTGGATCGCTCTGGTTTGGTTGATATATTTGCCTACCTGATATCTCAATTCTATCTCTAATCGCATTGTGTTTAGAGACGCATCGGTTTAGTTGGAACTGTCTCGGTTTGGTCCGATCTTCTGTCTTAGCCGATATATCTCTACAATCACAATGTTGTTCTAAATAGATTTGTTATATCCATCACATTTGATAGATCTATCGGCTCATCGAGTATTAGATTATCATATACAATCTCGTGCTGCATCGGTTAGGTTCGATCTACTAGATTGTTGTTGATAATATAAGTCTTGTTAAGCCGATAGGTTCATGCTAATGTTTTATCGGGGTGCTAGCAGATAAGTTATCTGGATGTTGCATCGGCTTGTAAAGATTGCATATACATAGAAGCTGGATTTAGCCGATGGCAACAAAGGTTTAACTGTTTAATCTAATTTTGTGGATTTTATGACATAGGACCTCCAGCCGATGTATGCTTTAACCGTCGGATCAATACTTGTTCTATTATATCATCTTGCTAGCCGATTGGTTTATACTGGATTATAGTGTTATTTTATTATATCATCATCAGCCGATTGCCTTTATATTATTATCTACATTGGACATATAGCCGATTGCTTAAACCCTATCGCTATCGGCTGGTATCGGCATCGGCTGGAACTACTCCATCGGCTTGTCAGCTGATCGGCTGTTTTGATCTGCTATTTGCATATCTTATCAGTTGCAGGATCAAACTGACTGGCACGCCCGCATCTCATTATATTTGGACCTGCACAGGAGTTAAGCAGATCTCCCAGGCCGGTGTGTTCGATTTTTTCGTCAACACAGATTTGCCGATTACCAAATTTCACTGTTAACACACATCCACCCAAAATCCCTTATATTTTGGGACAGAGGGAGTATAATTAAGATGTAACGCCTCTAACAATTGGTAGTGTGTACCATCGAGCTATAAATGTATTGATGTGTAGTTGCAGCATAGGGGCACAGCAGTATGGCTAGTGGTTTCTGAAGTTTGTACGGTTTCTTGTGGCTACTGCATACGCTCTCTCCCTAAATATTGTCGTGTGCAATATTTCACGTTTTCACGTTTTGTTACGTGGTGCTGCAAACATCGAAGGACAAGCACTCGAAGAGGCTTTAAAATGTTCCATTTTCCTTTATCAATGAAAGTAACTGTCGTGTTTAATTGTGTTTATCCTGCAACGCAGGAATAGTGGCGATGAAATGAGCCAGAATAACAATATAATTAAATCAAATGATGAACATATGATTTATATACGGTTAAAGACAAATTTCGATAAGGCCGGCCTGTACTTGATAGGTGCCTCAAACAAAAAAGGTCCTTTTTTCATAAAAAAAAAGGACAAAGGAACCTAGATATGTCCCTTTTGAACCATCATGCTCACAAAAGGAAGAGAAACTCATCTGAAGTTCTGAACTTCTGAATCTTGCCTTGTGAATCGTGTAACTATTTTATATCCACACGGCACTTCACGTTCATGGTAAAGTGAAACTTGTTATTCCGATTCTGAATGCAGTTTTCCGTCACGAAGAACACAACTGAAAGATGAGTTTGCTTTCTTGAAAGGATGGGAATCGACTGCATTATTGCAGTTGTTTTTAGAAGGATGGATACACTATAATTATCAGCAATGTGACCACTACTTTAGACATTGCCCAAAGTGTTTAAAGACGAGAACTCTGTTCCGAATCAGAACTGTACAGCTCAGATCAAGACGACACCACAGCAGAATTTTCTTCTTTCCTTCCTGGCAAGCTATTGATTCTTCTTCTTTGAATAACAACGACAACTTAACTAATCTTCACAAAGAAATCATTGAATTCTTCATGGTTTCATACAATACAATTTATCGTCCTGTTGCTTTAAATTACTTATAATCCAGAGTTTCAGTTTTCTCAGTATCTCCCACGTCTAACTTTTCAGTTACTGTGGTTACAGTTTCCTTCTTGAGCCGTTACATGATTTCCAATAGACAAAAAATAGCATTTATGGCAAGATTACAAGGATATCATACCAGTGCTTTTATGATTTACGGAAAGATTAGAAGGATCAGTCAAACAGTCATCACTGCTTTTTTTTTTCCTGAAATTCCAACTTTGATCTTCAGTATATGCAAACCAGCTTTGTTTTCTTTTTTTGCCTGGATGACGGAAGGAGGTCATCCAAATGTTATTAAGATAGATGAAGAAGTTACACGGAAGTTTTTCATCAACGCTGGTTGTCAAGGAAGGTGTGCACCGGAGCACACGCCCCGAATCACGCACCAACCGCGCAAACACAAGCTACTAAGAGGGGAGGTGAGCACCGAACCGGCCGTCGCTATGCGAGGCCAGCCGTCTCCAGGCCTACAACAACACCATAGAGCGGATACTCTAAAAAACGACGTCCTCACGAAGGTTGCGACGATGAAAGACGCCGCCATCGCCCATCCAAAGAACTAGACATGGTTTTCACCTAGAGCTCCTCGTGTGGGAGGAGGGGTACCTCAATAGTGCCCCCAGGAGGGTTACCACGCCCGAAATCATAGCCGTTGTAGCCCTAATAAAACATTGGGATAAGCTTTCGCCTAGAACCCTCTGCAACACTATCTCCATGGTCCATCGCCCACCAACTCCAGTACCACCATTCGAACATCGGCAACACGTGGCCTATGCCACACGCAACCGACACCCCTCTGCCTGTCGACTTCCAGTCGTGCCATCGGCAAGATTGCCACTTCGCCTTGTCGCCAGTGCGCTGACCCAAGCTTCCTACGCCAAGTTGCCCGTCAGAATCCTCACCGTATCCGACCTAAGGGAGCCCAGACAAAGAACACCATCGCCGTGGCAACCAAAGTCTTCCCCTGTAGACCAGCCACTGCCTCCACCCTGCCAAAAAGCTCAACGCAAAGAAGGGGAAGAGCTCCCCAACATAGGGGTAGATCGACCAGCCTCAAGGAAGACAACCCGACTGCCAATGCCCTCTACCCCGCTGCCCCACCTTTGTGCGTTGTCAAAGACCTTATCCGTCCCGCCACCTCGCTAGATCTGGCCAAGATGAGCCAGGACCTAGGGGCGATGCCTTGGCAGCCCAAGACTATCCCTGATGTCAATATGCCTCCTTCGACCTCCCAATGAAGCTCCTTGCAGAAGGAGGTGAGGAGCTCCACTGGTAGGTTAGGTGGCTGCCGACAACTATGGAGAAGGCCTTCCATCAAACTCCCAGCCAACACGCTCGATTGCCACCTCCACGACGAGAGAGTTTGTGCTATCACTGTCCAGCCAGCCCGTCGACCACCTCGTGGGCCAGTGCCGAAGTCACCGCACCGCCAAGCCCACTGGCGGCCTCGACGATCACCACCGACATCACCGTACCACTGCCTTGCCGCCACCTCGCCACTCACTAGCAACCTCTCCGCTGCCAACGCTGGTGTGGCCTCACCACTGCCAGATCCGCGCCGAAGCCACCCAACGCCCCTGATCTGGCCGAGAGGAGACTGGATGTGACCATAGGGTAGCCGGATCTGGCCATTCTCACCAACACGTGCTGTTGCTTCCATTGCGACCGTCTTTGCCGCCATCTCCTTATTCGGCCACAGCTCCGAGGCTACCATGTCGTCACCGACCATCATGGACATAGCCATCTCTGCCCCTTGCGGAACAT